GACGACGACGACGACGACGACGGTGGAGGGCCACGTAGCACTCTGAGCTGCATCCGTGTTTCTTTGTTAGTTCTCGGCCCTGTGATCTCAAGGTGGATATGTATCTTCGCCATAATTCAGTCAGACAACCCGTTGGACTTGAGTGAGCAGTTGGGCAATGATCCTGCGCACGCTCCGTTTACTGAAGCTCTGAAGCGAGCGAACAGATATCTTGTTGTTCGAAATGATGCCGTGGATGTGTTTGCCCGTATCTGGTGCTGTTGGGAGCTGTATTGTGCAGCACAGGGTGGGTTCTTGCAGAGCGACACTTGGATGTTCAGTGATATTCTTTCGCTTTTTTTGGTATAGGTTCCTAGTACAACATGGCTAACATTAGCTAGCCCAAAGAAGTATCTACTTTTCCCAGTGGGTTACTGAACAGCTCAGGACAAGTACATTGTCACTGGGCCGAGCAGGTTTCCAAATCCCGAGAATTGGGACATTGGCAAGGCCGACGCGTCAAACTTGGAGGACAAGCGTCTCATCATGCTTGCAGTGGCCAGCAACCAGGAGATATACCACACCATCATCGAGAAGGCGGTTCTGATTCGAAATCATCATGTCCCAGAGGAGGACCATGAGAAGTGCGGGAATCCCGCACGGTGGATGGCGCGAAGTTTGGGCAGTGCGAGCCACGCAACTGCTGCCATCTTGCCACCCACACTGACTCGACATGCCTCGGCGTGATGTGGGGCTTGTGGGATCATGGGGCTTGACAACTTAACGGGATCCCTAACGGGTGCGATAAGTCGTGGGATTTAGCAACTAGGGTTATAGACAAGGCCACTCTACTTATGACTACTTATAACCTGAGTTCAGGTACTTATCACCGTACTTAGGAAGTCCCGTGATTGCCTGTTGGGCCACCGGTTTAGTTTCGGAATGTTCTGGTCACCCGCAAAGTAGCTTCACACGCCTTTGCTGGAGGAGCCTCAACAAGTAGAATAGGGTTAGGCGGTTTAGGGTTTAGGGTTCTACACTACATCAGTGTCCCGAAGTGGTCCTCGCGGCAGGCTCCTCTTTTCATTAATTTAATTGTGGGTACCTATACCGGGACAGCTTCCATGTATGTCCCTGCTGGTGCCCAAGGCAAAGCAGAGATTTGGGGCTTCAGTTAATACCTCGCGAGGCGCATCTATTGCGCAAGCGCAAAGGACCGCGATTGCGTTCCTGTCCTGAGTTGGTTTGTCGGCAAATGCGAGACCAAGAACCCCACATTTGCACCCAACCCCATAGAATGACGTCTGCGAAAGTACTACGAGCCTTCTCGTCTCTGTCCTAATTAACACGCGACACCCCAAAACCCAACCTCAAACCTTGAATCCTGTATAGTACCCTCAAAGGAACGCTCTGAACAAAATTGAGAGCGCTCCCCTAAATCCTAAACCCTATGCCTAAACCCTAA